CTCGTAGAGGTTTCTCTTATCCACGAGGCCGCTTTTGCTGGCTGCCAGGAAATGGGTAAACTGGGAAGTCTTCCTCAGCTCTGCAGCAATGCGCCTGGCCTCGTCGATGTCCACGACCTGGATCTGCCTGGGCATGTGCCTGGAGATGGGATTCACCATTCTGCCGATATCGTTCCTCTTGTTCAGGATGGAGTCCCCTCGCTGGTTGTTCAGCTGGGGAAGTCTGGGAGTGTGGTGGGTCATCGGACTCGGTCTGGATGACTCCATCCCGCTGCTCCCGGCTTGTAGATCGGAGTAATAGTAAGGAGCCCCGGATTGATCACTCTGACCTGGTCCGGGACCAGGTGGACCACCTCCGCCCACCCCCGGGGAGTGCCTGGTCCTGGGGTTGGCCTTGACTGTTGACGTCGATGGTGGGTACTGACTGGAATCCTGGCTAGAAGAGGACCTATGGTTCGGCGAAAGCGGCGAATACCTGGTAGAGTCCTGACTAGCCTCCCTGGAATGGTTCCTGGTCACTTGGTTACTCGAAGAGTTACTTGAAGACTGCGCACTTCCTGGCCTCTGGCTCAGACCTGACCCTGAAGCCGGTGCTGAGGAAAACGGCGAGTAGCAGGAGTCTCGTCCAACGGGGACCATGGAACTGCCTTGAACACCTTGAAAAAGCTGACCGCCCTGGTGCTGGACACTCTGAAGGTGGCCCTGTCCACCCTGAATAACTCCACCATCCGACTTCATCGCCGGGGAGCCTCCAAGGGGCGAAAAGCTCCCCACGTTCTCGTAATGCGCATCCCCTGTGAAAGACTGGGAGTGCTGATGAGCAGGTGGAACATCACTGACTCTCATCGCTGGCAAACTACTGGCAGAGCTTGTCTTGCTGCGCGCGCCGTACTTCAGGAACGGCTGGTCCAGGTTCATCTTCCCGGTGCCAAGGTCAGGGTACGCGGTCTTCTGCAGCTTCTCCGAGGCGAGTGTGTTCTCATTGAACCCGTAGATGCCGTTGTAACTGAGGTCCTTGGCGTAGAGGTCGACGTTGAAGGCGTCCCTCGCCTGCAGCTCTTCAAGGTACTGGTCAAGGTCGATGCTGGTCCCGCCGTCGAAGCGACTCCCTAGGGACTCCAGCTCGTCCAGGCTGTCCAGGACCTCGCAGACTTCATCGCTGACCGGCCTCCTCTTCATCTGACGATGTCGCGCCTCCTCTTCAGGATTCCTGAGCTCGACCGAGTCGCTCCCGGACACGCTCTCCAAGGATATCCTGCTGTCCCTGAAGGTGGAGCTGACGGTGGCATCGGAGAACCTCGAAGGAGACCCATGACTCTCCACCTGACCCGTCGGCTTGTTCCAGGACTTCGGGGACTCCGTGCTGGAGGAATTATCCCTGGTCAGAGTAGACCTTGATGACTTCTTCTCCAAGATGTCCTGCATGTCCAGCGAGTCCAGGTCGTCCAGGGGAGGTGGAGAAGTGGGAATCGGAGGTGGAGACACCAGCTCACTGTCCGAAGAGTCGTGCAGCTCCGCCATCAGCGCTCTGCTGGCTCCAAGGTAGTACGAGGCAGGTCTGAAGGTATCAGACAAACTAAAACGTGGATGACGAGGAGCATCCAGAGAGTCCAGGTCCTTGGAGGACTCGTCGTCCGCGTCGGAGCTGTCCGACTTTAGGGTGGTCAGAATGTCCGGGAGATCGCTTCTAGATGGAGCCTCGACACCCTGGTCCCTCTTCTTGGTCTTCTTCAGAGTCCCTTTCTCCTCCTTCTCCGCCAGCTGACTCACCTCCATGTACACCGGCTCCATCTTGCTGTCCGCCACCCTGACGAACTCGTAATGGGGAGTGTCCAGGGTAGAGTAATCCCCGGAATCGTGTTTCCCATCCTCGTTGGGCGCCAGCAAGGAATGGCCCATCCCGTTCTGCGTCATCTCCACGTAGGAGCTCTCCTCATGGTCCAGGTCCGCGAAGAGGCTCTCCATCATCTTGGAGTTGGGCCTGTCGTCGTTGTTCGGATCCAGGATCGCTTTTCTCGGGGTCATGGGAAGGTAGTGCTCTTCAGGGCTGGGCTCTTCAGGGTTGGGTGAAGGACTTGGCGCGGCACTCTCTCCGGAAAGTCGGTCCCCGTGGGTCACCAGAGACTCCGACACGCTGAGTCTGTTGTATCCTGGAGGTTGGACCACGTCGAGGTCCTCTGAGGCCAGGACGCGTTCTCCAGGCTTCCCTGGAAGCTTCCTTCGTCTTCTCTCTAGGTCCCTCTTCCTCTTGATGGTCCCTGTGTACTCTTCCTTGCTCTCCACCCCGGAAGTTGCTCTTTTCTCCTCCTCTTCCGCATCCTCTTCGACGTCCTCTTCGTCGTTCTCTTCATCCTCTTCCTCGCTCCTTTCCCTCTGGTCTACCTCACTGCCCGTGTCGTACAGCAAGGTCTCGGTGTCGCTGAAAACTCCTCGATGTTTCTGCGCCTCTTCGTCGCGTTCATCCTCCTGCATCCTCACCTGCTGTGACTTCCTCTCGAAATCCGCCAGAAGGTCCTTCACGGTTTTGTTGGCGTCGTTCCGCTGTTTCGAGTCCTCCTCCACCTGTCTACCCACCTCCTCAGGGTCTTCAACTTCCCCCAAAGCGAACTCCCGAATGGCAGACCCGTTCCTGGTGGACTCTAACCTGGAAACGTGGGCCTCGGTGGCCTGGGGTGGCGACATCTTCAGGGGCTCCTGCATGGCCAGGCTCTCCTTCCCCTGACCTTCCTCTCCAACCTCGAAGGACCTTATCCTGGACCTCACCGAATTCAAGGACTCCGACGTACACCCTTCCTCTCCCTCATTTTTGACATCTACATCTTCACCCCTAAGGAACTCCTCGACATCTTCTTCCTCACCCTGGTCCCACTCTTCAGGATCGTTCCTCGACTCCCACTGCACGCTTCTTCCTTGCCAGGACTCTCTAGGCAGGACCCCCGCCAATGTGCCCATCTTGCTGACCTCGACCTCTCTGGTACCACCTCTTCCTCGATGCCTACCCTGATCCGATGACCCTGGAGTACCCGGAGAGAGCCCAGGGTACGTCGAGGGCGTCTTTAGGATCCCGCAGGGCTTCTTTGAGACACTCTGGCAGGTGTCGGCGAATTGTTCCGGGGGCTCTGGTTTTCTTGGAGACCTTGAAGAGGACCTGGAAGACCGGCCCTGGTGACTCGTGGGGGATCCGAAACCGATCTCTTCGTACCCGGTGTCTGGTGGGATGCAGACCAAGGAGGGGTCCGAAGAGGGCGTCCTGGACTGGTTTCCTCTCGGTCCTGGAGGTCCTGATGACGTCCCTGGGGGCAGGACCTCTTGGAGGGGGCGAATTCCCCCCGCAGATTGGTTCTCGTGCCCGGAAGTCCCGGATGATCGATCCTCCCCAAAATGACGGGGGCTCCTTACTGCGTGCGAGGGTCTGCGCGAACGCTTCCTCCGGACATCGCCCAGCTCTGGGTTCCCGGCGAACAGAGATACGTAGGTCGGATTATAGGTTGACACCTACGACCCTTTTTGCCCACCTCCAGAATGGCCTCCTAGTGCTAGGGAAGGTTCCAGGACCCTGGACCGCCGAGGACCGCGATCGGAACTAGAAATCTACTCTACCACTCTCACTCAAAAGGAAAGTGTCCGATTGAAAATAACAGAATTAAATTTTCATTTACCTTCGATCACCATATATTAAGGTGATACGAAAGTGTCATTATATAGCGTCAAAATATAAATAGAAAACCAGGGATATGTCCATCCTCTTCCAGGGAACCTCTGTCGAGATGATCCCGGCGGTCCTGGGGGAGAGATTAATATCCCAAAATCCTGGCAGTGTTAGTGGGTCCTGCGGCATGCCATGCTCCCCCTACGAGTCCAACCCCAAATCCCGGAGCTCGCGAATTAATTGCCAGCGGTCCCCGGCATCGTTAGACACGAAGGTGTTAATTTCCCCGTTCACCATTCAGCCCAGACCCAGCAGCAGCAGAAAGGTGGAGCCCCCCCAAGGAGTCTTCGAGGTGTACCCTGAGGCACCCTCGATAGGGTACGAGTCAACGTATCGACGAGTCATGGGGTCGCCCCCTCTTCAGGGTGCTCGTTATCGTTTATTAGGATTTATTAAACTCGTTACACAGAAAAGAAAATAGGTGGGGAGCGGTCCTCTTGCCGAAGATACCTGACTTTTGTTAGTCGATGCAGTGGTTACGCGCGTTAATTGGAATCGCCATGGGGGGTCTGTATCGGGGCGCATCGATTCGATGCAATCGGCGGTGCATGCCCTTTCGATTCGACGTGAATGCATTTTCGAGCCCTTCGGTCGACGCGAAACCGCGGGCTATCCTCGATACGGCGAAAATGTCGGAGCAATTAAAAAGCAATATTTCTGTATATATATACATATAAATGTGTATTTATATATACTCGTACATTTATATCCTCCCATCGATCCTCTTCGGGCTCGGAGTTAGAGGTACACGGGGAGATAAAAAGAGAAAGAGAGAGAGAAAGAGAGAGAGAGCAGACGAGCGTTAGCGGTACAAGCCGAGATGCTGGAGAGCGAAGGACTCTCCCAGGTATTTCGTCCTAAAAAATTAAACAGGTAAGGAATTAAATGATTAAGTAATTGACCCTAAACCTACCGACGATTCGAACCTCCCTTGCCATGAACCAGAGATGGAGAACAGAATTTTAAATATTTATAACATTATTAGGAACTTCTTTCCGAGTGCATACAAAGTTATGAAAGATAGGGTTAGTGTATAGAAAAAAAAAAAAAATAGAGGAACTAAAAATACGAAAATCTGAGACAATGATCGAGAGATTCTCAAGTGACACATCCTGGGAGGGTCCTCGCCAGGACACCGCGGGGGGTGGTAGGGACCACCCTGCGACTTTTAACAAGACCCCGTCGAGGGGTCGCTTCGACTTCCGGTCCTCCTGGAAGCCGGAAGTCCGATTCTCGTTAAGGGCGGCCCTTCAGATAACGAGTTCTCCGGACGAGGAAGAGGAGGTCCTACCTTCGTCGTCGCTGGAGTAGCTGTTGTATCTGGAGACGTTGTTCGCAGACCGGCGGCCATCGGAGCTTTTGCTCCTGGGGTGGGACCGATGCCCGTCGTCGCGACGCCGGGAGTGCCGGGCCTCGGCGAGGGTCGCCTCGTGGGCGGCGAGGTCCAGGAGGGCCTGTCTCTTGTAGTAGCTGGAGAGCTCGTTCGGCCCGGAGGAACGGTGGGCGGATCCCGAGGGCTTCCTCGTCAGCGGGGACTGCAGCATCCTCTGCTTCCACTCCAGCAACCTCTTCATGGACTCCTCGCGCTGGAACAGGAAGTTAACTCGGGTTTGATTTGGTGTCAAGAGCGGCTTGTGACCGCCTGTCGAGTGGGACATGTATTCCAGGGCGACACGAGAAGTGATTGTAGTGGACGATGAGATATCCTCAAAGGGGGAAAAAATTTGGGGATGATGGTGATCATGGTAGAAAATCAGCTGATCGCTCATTTTATGATATAACATGCATTTGCTAGATGATAAGGCCACTGATTAGATCGAATAATGAAATAACCCCGAAGAGGGGGTTGGATTGTCAGGATGAGAGTGGAGGTGCGATCACTCCTCCTCGACCTCCTGAAGAAGCTTTGTCAAACGCCGGCGGGACGTGCCGGCTCCAGGGGAGAGTGCGGGCCAAAAGTCGTCCGTCAATAGACACGGTCGACGCGGTGCCGGGAGTGGCTCCGCACATCCGCATGAATCACCCGGGAGGGCCGCACCGACGTCATCGTCCCTCTCCGCTCCCGGCTGAGTCAGCGCGGACGCGTCCCTCGGGACCCGCCGCTCCCGACCTGCCCGACGCTTCGTTCCGCCAGAGGGAATCCTCGCTGCGGCTAGTTACCTCCCCCTCATCGAGGGAATGGACTCGTGTATCCTGGAATCCCGAGTTCCCTCGGGAACTGGAATTTTCGCCGAGCGCGTTTGAGGAATCACTGTACTTGGCGCGATACTCTACCGAGATTTTTGCCACGAAACTCGCTTTCCGCTCTTCGGTAACTCACCTGCTGGATCTTCCGCTCTCCGTCCCTGGCATCCTGGCTCGGAGACTGCTCGTAAGGGTTTTCTTCAGGGTCTCCCCCTGCAGGATGCCTGGTCCTTGGAAGTCGAGCAGAGGCCGACCTGGAGAATTGTTGCTGCTGGTGCTGAAGAACTTGCTCGTTCCAGCGCCTGGACCCATGTCCGCTATGATGGTACTGGCCCTGACCAACGAGTACCGCATGTCCAGGGTGTCCCATCGAAGTCCTACCATTGGTGACCTCGTAGTCTCTCTGCGCTCTTCTGGGCACGGTTCCCCCTTCCTGAAGAGGCATCTCGTAGCTCCTCTCCCTCAGCGACCTCCTCAGCACCGCCTCGTTGCTGGACATCCTGCACAGAGAGGCACAGAGCGACCCTCGCGTCGATCATAGGGACCAAGAGGAGAGGAAAGAAGATTACTCCCACGCGAAATCGACCCTAAAGAGCGACAACAGGGTCGGAAGATATCCCGCGTCTACCCCCAGGAGTCTAGAAAGAGGAACAGGAAGACTCACTCGGAGTACCTCTGCAGGGACTGCGAGAGAACCTGCTGCTGATGGCCGTGCTCTCTCAGGGACCTCTTCAGAGCAGGACAGGACCCATCCAGGCCCGGAACAATGGCAGGCTCGACGTCCCTCGTCGACGTCGTCTTCGAGGGCGTCGCGGCCCGTGAGAGGGACTGGTTCCTCTGCTGCTGATGTTGCTGGGGAGTCTGGTGCAGGTAAACCGCCGACTGGCGCATCTGGGCGGCGTACCTTGAAGAAGGTTTCCATTTCCTCCACTTCTCGACACTCGACCACTTCTCTCGGGCCATTGTTCAAAAAGGAAGAAATGCGAAAGGAAATCATAAAAAAGAAGCGCACCTCTCCTCCGAGTAGAAATAACCATCGCTGGGGGACACGTCCGAGGGGTTGACGATGTCTAGGCTGGACTTGGGTCTCTGAGGTCTCCTCTGCTGGGTGGAGAGGTCCTCGGCAAATGTGGGGACCTGCTGATGGGGTCTCCTGGTCGCCTCGTACTCCAGGAAGTCCGCACTATGGGGTCGGGGTGGTGGCTGGACCCTCACCTGCCTGGGCTGACCTGAAAGCAGATAAAAGAGACGCTCTTCAGAATCCTCTCTTGGATCCCCTTTAACATCCCCATCGGTTACCCTCCCAAATACTAAGTACCACCAAAAACCACCCTTACCATTGCTCGGAGCCGGGACGTACATCTGGGGATGTTGCTGCCCATACCCAGGAATAGGTATCGGCGCAGGTGTAGGAGCCTTGGTGTACCCAACCGGCCCAGCAGGTCGCTGATACAGCTGAGGACCTGCATACACATCCTCATAATCCCCACTAGGTCTGGAACCCCTAGGTTTAGCACTCCTCCCATAAGTATCCGGAGTCCTCCTCTCGGTGGACTGCACCTGCCCATACCCATAATTGAGTCCTGATCTATCAGTCCTCAGCGCTCCCGGCATCCTGGTGGAGGCGACATACACCGGTCCATTCCTCTCGTACTCAGCAATCGGACTTTTCGCAGCAACCCTGACATCAGGAGACACCGGGGACCGTCTATAGTCAGGGTCTGGGGATGGGGTGGAATAGTCGTTGGACCCATCGGTCAGTCTTCTGGGCTTTGGGGGCGCATTTGCATACACCGGCTGGCCGAAGTTCCTTGGCATGGGCTGCACCGTCTGCACGTTGCTGGGCCCTGCTGCCTGCTGTACCTGCTGCTGTTGGTGCACCTGTTGCTTGTACTGGTGCGGCAGGTGCTGGTGTGGATGGACCTGCAGCTGGAATTGCTGCTGGGGGGACGATGGAGGGTTCACCTGGTGCTGGTGTTGATGCTGGACCTGAACCTGATGCTGAACTTGATGTTGTCCCTGATGCTGCACCTGATGCTGAACTTGTTGTCCCTGATGCTGCACCGGATGCTGAACCTGATGCTGCACCTGAAGTTGTCCCGGATGCTGGACCTGGTGCTGCACCTGATGTTGCTGGGAGGTCCCAGCCTGTGCATACGGTTGCTGCATCCATCCATTGATCAGCGGATGAGGTTGGCCATCCTGACCGGTCCCGCTGCTCCCATTGGTGCTGAGATTTGGAAAGGACGCGGTGTTCGCGCTGTTCGGGCTGGAATTGTTGTTCGAGGCATGGCTCGGATCATCCCTGGATTGGAACCCGTGGAACCCGGAGTCGCTGTCGTCGGCACTCTGGTTCAGAATCGACGAGATGGACGACACGGAGGGTCTGGCGCTTCTCTCGCCATCCGCTGGTCCAGCGATCTCCAGGGCGACAGGTGCCTCGCCTCCACCCCTGAAGAACATCGCGAAGACCCTCGTTATCCCCTCTGATATTTACTTTCGAGATTCCCTTTCTCAAACTCGATTTTAAAAAAAAAAAACACATTTCCATTCTCAACATTAAAAAGTTACCCCAAAAAATATCCTATATACATTATTTCACATATCCCCACTCGAGTGCCCCAGAAGGTGGTGGACGGTTGGTCCAGATCCAGCATCCGATTTCGGTGTTAAGGGGGCCGAGGGGGGATTCCCTCCCACCTCCCAGGAACACGGAAAAGGCATCCACGTAACACCGAAGGGGGGCGGAAAGCTGCTTTGAGGTTTCCTAGGGTAATCTCACCCCCCAGCTCGGGGGCACCGGGACGTACCCCTCTCTGGCCGCAGCCAACTTCCGGCAGCCAACTAACGAGTTGGATAGTTACACTGAGATTACTTGCCCCCCCCCCCGGGGGGGGGCGATATTTTCGGCGTGAGCAAACGGCATAGGCCGGTGAGTTTCCCTCGTGGATCCGCAAAGCGAATTCCACCCACCCTTTGACCACCCCCTGCCGCCCTTTGACTCGTAATCCTGTCAAGTAGATGCCCCCCAACCCCCTTTATATATATCTAATATGTATATATGAACATGTATATATATTTATACCCTTTTCAGCGTTTTTCCGATAATCGTACGAAATTTATGTTCCTTGTAGATTAATATATTTTTCTGGGAATTTTTTTGTTTTCAAGATGGATTCAGGGCGATGGCTTACGGGTTCGGGTCCTGGAGGAGCGTCGCCAGGGTCAGGGCGTTCACCCACTGGTTCATTCGCTCCCGAGAGTCTGCCGCGAACAGGTACGTCCTCATGTTCGCATGTTCGGCCTTGAAGGCGAACTTCTTGGCTACCTTGTCCTCCGGGCGGCATATCGTCACCCGATAAGACGGCAGCAGGATCGAGCCCAGCAGCTTCTCCTCCTCGGGACCTGCGGGAAGACATGGCGGAAAATTAGAACGAGGGGGAAAGAATCCCATGGGGTCGTGATGGGTCTTGAACAAATTCTGAAGAAATTTAGAAAAAACACGGGAAGAGATTAGAAGACATTCTGAAGAGATTCTAAAGAAACTGTCAAAAAAATCCCGACGAAAAACTTCTCGCAAAGCCGTCGCATCTCCAAGTGCACATCTCCGAATGGAAAAGAACCGCCCCCGCGTTCCTCCACCCTCTGTCACCCCTTTTTGGATTATTCACAAGGCGAGCCCTCCTCGAGGGCCATCCTTCCCCTTCAAAGGGGGTTATACCCTGAAATATTGAAGCCCCGACAGGCGTCGCGACGCCTGGGCGGAGGAATTTCAGGGGGCACAAAGGCGGGGCATCCCCCTAAAAAAAAAAAATAGAAAAACTGGATAAAAAAATCGATGCGCCTCGAAATTAATCATTGAAACACCGAGAAAAATCTGGATAACAATTGACTTTGGGAAACGCATGTCGATATGACGCGGGAAATTGAAAATTTCGGCGTCGACGAAATCGAGAGGGCTTGTTCCCGGATTCCTGTACGGGGGTCCCCAGGGAAGGGCTTGAATTCGATTTAAGTTCAAGAGACGCAGGCAACGTTAATGGTTAAGGAGCGTGCATGGGGTGGAGGCATGTGTCGGGGGCATGGGGGTGTAAACGCGAGTAGTGACTTCGGGCACTCGGGACCGAGGGGCGCGTTAATCCCGAGGGGGGGCCGAATTAAACTCCTCGGCAAGTTTCCCCAAACTGTTTCACAGTGCAAGACCGCACCAGGACTTGAAATACGGACCGGAAGTGGAATCTGCGAGCGGCCGCGTTTCCGGCTCGTTTATATATTTATTTTACAATCAAGGCGGCCCAGAATAACCCCGAAAGCACTACACCGTCCCGAGAGCCACTCCACCCCTGCTCGAAAATCCCCTCCCCCCAAAAAAAAATATTTAAACAAATTCCCGCGATCTCCGCAATTTTTAAACAAAGCCTCCTCAACCTCTGAATTTTTTTCTCTTCTATTCGGGGCAAGCGGTAAGCGGGGGTGTAACGAAAAGTGAAACGCTTCTCCATTTCATCTCTTCTCTCGGTCACTTATCAGTTACACGCACCTCTGCACATTAATATACAGAATCTAGAAGATTTCAGAATTCCCAGCGGGCATTTTTTTCCCCCCTAAAACCGCTCGCGGAAGGGTTGAACTCACAGAGGTAAGACGTCACTCAGAGTGGGTGAGGGGTCAGGACAAGATAATGCATTTAGGGGTTGCCGGGAAAGCGGAAGTTCCGGCGCCATCTGCGGGGGTGCAATAACGCACCCCTTCCCCCCTCAGGGGGTACACGACCGGATGTACATGGGGCGGGTATCGAGATCCCGCGGGGGAGTTCGGTGATCTGTCGCGGCCCGATAAACCGGACTAACTTATCCTTATGTACTTGCACATATGTACATAAATATGGTCACATACATATACACATACATACACGTGTATATCGAAATCCGATGGCGCGACCTCCGGCAAGCGCCTCCGCGCCCGAGATACTTTTCCCCGATAAGGGCGCATCCCCCCGGGGGGAGGGACAGTGATAAGAGATAAACCTGGGGAACGTCGACTCACCCTTGTAGTAGAAGAGGCAGTACTCGGAGAGGACGAACCACCGCTTCTTCCAGAGCATGAGGCCCTCGGAGCCCTGCTTGTGCAGCCACCCCTGGAGGGCCACGGGGGCTGATAAGGGCCTCTTCGCTGCGGGGGAGCGCAACCCCTGGGGCCCGCTGCGGCGACGCACCCCCGCCGCGACGCCCCCCACGTCGCCCCCGCTCTTCCGCCTCCCGGCCGGACCTGCTCCCGCCCCCTGGACAACCTGAAACGAGATGAAACGGAGAAACGTTATTTCGAAGGGGGGAGATTAATTATCACAGGGGAGGAAATTTAACGAAACGTCGCTCTAGCGAGAGGGAATTTTCTGAGGGTGCGGATATTTATGGGAACGCTATTTCCGCGAGGGGGAATTACTCCAGGACGAGGGAATTTACGAAATCGTCAAGAATGATCTAAGGGTGCGGAAATTTCCCAGCATCGCCATGATGGTCGTCAAGGATTTTCCGAGATCTGAAGGAGACTTCGTTACCGTTGTCGGACATAATACGAGGGTGCGAGAATTCAAAAGGGGTAATTTTTGAAGCCCGGATTTCGACGGAGGTACAAGGAAACGGAGGGTGGAGCGGAGGGTAATTACAGGGGGTTGCTTTCACCCCCGGTTTCCCGTCAAAGAAAGGGGGCGAGTGACAAAGGGCGCTCTCCTCGGCTGGTCGTTCCGGTTTTTCCTTTGGATTTCACCAGAGCGACCTTTCAAATTGGATCTTCCTGACAGAGGGAAGGGGGGACGTCTGAAGGGGGCTTATCAGGGGGTGAGAGATGCACGGAGGGATGCACCCCGGACAGAGGGCTCGACCGACCCAATTACATCGGCGAGGTCCAATTAGATCCGTGTAAATACGCCTGGTGTCTGATCCCGGGGGTGGCTTTTTTCAACCCCTGGGAGGGACAATAACGCGACGAGGGGGTTGGGGTAGGGGAGCCTCCCTCTCTTAATCCAGGAGATGTGAACACTCAGGGGATGTTCTCGTTATCAGGGATGGACGCGCTGGCCGAGACCTTGGAAGACCACCCCTGTGTAAAATCACCCCGATGTAAACTCCCCTACTTTTCTGTTATTCAGTTTGCATATTGAACCCACCCCTTGCAAGCACACGTACATATGCATTCATCATGCTCTATCCTAATTACTCGACAATTCGATTATCCATTAAAAAAATGCGTACGGGGGAGGAACCGGATAATCGAGTAAACACTCCCGGTGGGGGTATCGGGGGATGAAATCCGGGGTTTCCAACCCCCGGACTAATCTCCGATGTACCGCCGAGCGAATCACGTAACTCGCACCGACACCCCAAACGGCTGGGGGGGATGCCCCCCAGGGGTAAGATCCCCAACCCGGGGCTGATACTCTCCGAGCACCGCGGTTTGCCCAGACTTCGACTACAACCCCCGAGGGGGTTGATGCCACCCAGTAAGAGCGTTTTCCCCATGACACCCCCGAATTTCCAGTTCCACCCCCGGGCGCCGAAAGTCGCCCCCAGAACTGCTCTTTACATACCGGGGGTTATTATTGGGGGTGTTATGACAGGGGTTGATATCGGCTGGCATTCCGCCCGGAATATGCACCCCTGATAAGTGACGATACCCGCGACGGCGTTCCGCGGCGGATTCCGCATTCCGCGCGGCCCTGGAATCGGTGAAACGCATTCTCGGTAGTTAAGGGGTGGTTTGGGGAGTGGAATCCAGAGAGTTAATTTTTGTTACCGCAAAAAACCCTCTCCAAGTGAAGATCGATGAGTTCACCTATGATGACCTCGTATGGTATCCCCCCCAAATCCACCCTCGATGAAACATCCCCCTCAAAAATCGATAAATCCATAAACCACCCTTAGTGCCCATTTGAAAAATCCCTAAGGCAATTTTTCTTTCAATATTTAATAAAATCCAGAAATTTCCTTCCACCCAGAAGGGTCGGTCTTCTTCCTCGGTATTAAGTAATAAGGAAGAGACTCCAGGGGGTGGGGTTGCGGTTCATCGAGGAACGTGATTCGTCGGGAGCGAACCGCTCAACCCCATTCGGAGGTGGATAAAACGGAAGGGCGCGGACGGGGCCGATAATGCAATTATGACGAAGTGAAGAGGGGGGTGGGTCCCTCCCGTCCTCAGGGGGTCGTTTCTCAGCCACCTTTCCAGGTGCCGTGGGAAAACTCGCTTCGAATCGATGCCACCCGTGACGTCACACGACATGCGCCATCAAAGCGATGACGTCACGGGGGAAGTTCCCCCTTTCGATAATTCGATAACCACCCCCTCCCCCCGGGACGCCCACTGTATTTTATTTCCTTAAATTCAATTCCGAGGTCTATACTCGTCGGCCTAAGGGACGCGCTTTCGAGTTAATTCCTTGGGGGGGCCAGGAGAACAAATGGGTGGGGCTGGGGGGGGGGACTTCCAAAGTGTCCCGGCACTTCGTTTGCAACGTCAGCTCCCGGAAGCAGCGCAAAGTCGATCCCCACCCTCGTCCCGAGTAAACCGAATTTAATCTCGGTACGACGTTTCCCCCCTTTCCCCCGAGGGAGGCAGGGGGGGAATAACCCACCCCCAAGGCTGCGAGTCGAGCGCGCCGAATTCGCCGCCGACTAATTACCGCTGGGCCTAGGTGAAGGGGTTGACGCGACGACTCGATGATCTCAGAGAGCGGTTTCCCCCAAAAGCGAGAATTTCATGAAGGAAGTCTGCGAGATATCTTCAACAGACAGATATCGGGAGATAAGGGGTGTCTTCCCCCGCAATCATCCCCCGGATCCTGAGATAAGGGCTCTGGGGATTTCTCCCCCATCCGAGAATTTCCCTGCGAAAGGGAGATTGGAGTTCGCCGAGGAGCGTTACGCGTTTCGCGAGGGCATAAAGTTGCGAAAATCTCGGGGGGTTGTCCCCCCCAAGAACGCCTCCTCCTGGGGGCCAATATGGCGCCCCATATTGGAATTCCGGGACGACTTCGAGTTCAATACTTGGCGCGGCCGCGGAGGGATTTTCGCGTTCTCCCTCACCCCCCCCCCCCTGTGAGGTGCAATTTTCCACGGGGGTGGCTCGCGAGGAGACTCGCCCCCGGAAACCTTGGATTTACCTTCCGGCTTTCCGCGGGGGATGAAAGCGCCGGTCCGACCACCCCCGGGCCCCGATGCAAAGTTAAGGACGTAATTCGACCCGACCCCCAGGTTATTACCGAGCACATTAAACATCGCGCACCCCCAGGGGGGCATCTCCCCCCGCCCCAGGTGCGGGATAAGGGAAATGCTGAGAGAGCCGTAAAAGGTGGTTTCGCGGGGCGCGTTCACGCGGATCCGCGACTCGCGGTCGGCTGCAGGGGTGGGTTTAAATATCCCCTTCCACTGCTGCCCCCCTTCCCCCCCGGCAATCTCTAGGGGATGTATCCGGGATATTCGGGCTCGCGGCTGCTTCCAGGCCGCCACCCCTGGAGATTCCAAGGTGTAAGGAAAACAACGGAATGCCTCTTTATTCACGGATCGGGGGATGGATTTTCACCGCCCCCTCCCCGCAGGGACAACACCCGTTTTCCGATTTTTCCACCCCTTCGCAGATACTCGGCTTTTTCCAGGCCGATGGAACGCACGCATTTCCCGGAATCCGTCGCGTTCCAACCCTTTCCCACCCCCTCGGTACCCGGTTTTCCTTTCCACCCCCAGGGGGTTGCGCCTCCCTTCACCCTATTTTCCGAGTTACGTCGCACGCGTCTCGGTTTTCTTTCCTGAGGAGTAAATTAAATATCGCCGGCGGGGGCGCAACACCCCCAGGGAGTCGTAGGTCGGGTAACGAGAACGGATTTCCTCGGAGGCGGGCTAGAGGGGAGGAAAGGGAACTCACACGAGACGGCCCGACAGGGAGACTCGATTATTTCAACCCCCGCCGGTCTTTCACCTCTTCGCTACCCGCGGGACCTGACTCCGCGCGGCCGCACGTCGACTTGGACTGTGGAATTCCGCGTGAACGGCGCCTCCCACGGGAAAACGGCTATGACGAAGTTTGTAGGGGATGAAGTGCTGGACAAGTTTCTCCGGGGGTGTTTTTCCATGTCGTGGCTCGTTAGCGAGAAATTAACCCCCGAAGCCCGGGCGCGAGGGGAGGTCCCGCGGGGGCTCGGTCATATTTCTCCCGGCTTCGACCCTCCGAGCGCTGGACCTCGACCGGGGGTGGTTCACCTCCGACATGGGGTTCCCGAGGGAACTGCCTCAAGAACCTCGGCACCTCTCGAGTCCTCCTAACTCATATGACCTTAACTCCATCCCTGGTTCCCGAGAAAAAAATTAATTTCTCCCGAGAAAAAAAAAAGTCCCTCGTCGCCTGGCTGTATCCCGAGGGAAGGCCCGTCACGGCGAAACTCACGGGAGCGGCCACCCCGTCGAATCGCGTCACGAAATCGTCCCGTCGAAATCGTTCCATGGAATCGTCCTTTCCCGTCATCCCGTCCTCCCCGAATCCGGCACTCGCATTCCTCAGGACCCGCTCAGCCGACTTCCGAGGAGACGTATGCCTGGCTGTAATTGAATAATGCATGCGGAAGCTCGCGTAAGCCCCCCGGTACGTGCGCCTGGAATAAGTAACCGGATTCGTTCGTTCCCGTCGATAATACCGGTTCCCGAGGGAACGCGGGACGTCCGCCGGAAGTCGGGACACATCCCTCTCCCCGAAGACGCGTTCTCGTTAGGTCGACGAAGCGTTTCCTTCGGGACGCTCCCTTGCCTTTCCCGAGGGATCGATGGGGGGGGGGGGGGCAAGACGCCCCGAATAATACCGTCGAGCCTCGGGTGCACCGGAGGCCAACGGTGTAATTTAATAGGAGGATCCATTTGTTATCCCCGGGAGCGACTTGCGCCTCGCCAGGGACTTCGGGAATCCCTCCGAGGAGTCCCCCTTCTACATATCTATGTACAGGTGTATGTACACAGGTGTACATGGGTACACGTGTACGCGATCTGCCTTTGTACACATCGGACGGTTGGACTAGGGGTGGTTCGATCGGGGTTAGGCTTGGCCGTGGGGGTGGATTCCTTCCCGAACTCCTGCAGGAATCTCAGGAAGGTTTGTTCGGGAATTTAATGGTGGTCCTTTAATAATTAATAATTATTAATCATGCTTAGGATGCGTGATTGTGCATTAGATTGGATGTGGGGGAGGAGGGTTGAGGGCAAATATACAGGTGTTCAGTGCCAATATACATTTTTACAGGTACACAGTCAGGTGTACAGTACACATACAGACACACGGTACGCCCTGGGGATGGTAGAAGAGAAGGGGGTGCCTTAAAACCGCCCTCGAACAACCCCCAATTAACCCCGATGGAGGAACACCCTCCCTGACCCGGGGGGGGGGGTGTACCACAAACGCGTTTTTCCTCAACCCCGACCTACCCTAAACCGCAAGGGTTGATCGAACGCCCCCGCTGTGGGGAAACTAGATGAAAACCCCCCTCACACAAAAACCGGATGCACCCCTTTCCCCTCGGACTTTTCCATCGGGGGAAATCCACCCCACGAAGTCTTCTTACCGAGGGGGCGGCGCCACCTGGGGGAGGGACATTAAAAGAGTGGGAATAAATAATTCAACGGTGCAGGCGGGAGGGGATGCAGGAAATTTCCCGATACTCTTCGGGAAAAGCAGCTTAATATTAATGCCGAGGCGGGACTTTATTAGAGGGGGGGTCGCCTCTCCCCCTCCCCGAGGAAACATAATATCGAACGAAGTTGCGGTACCTGTGCAAGTTCGGGTGAAGCGTCCTTACCCACCCCCGGCGGTATTACTCTCCCCCAGGAGAAATAAGGGAGAAACAGGGGGGGTGGGGGGTGTTGCCCCCAAACCCCTTCAAGATTACCCAAGAAACGCGCCGGCATCCAGGAAAGAGGAGCTCGACTCCCCCTGCCCAGAAAATTAATTTACTCCCGGATGGGAATCGGATTTCTCGTTTCTGGGATCGGGGGGTTGAAGTGGGGGGGACTGGGGAGGGGGCCTGGAAAAATTGTTATCACCAGGACCCACCCGCGGGGTCGCCTCGCGGCTTTGTTCCTGGGGAAGGGGTCCTTAGCGGGCCAAGTCAGAGGATTATGGGACTCGGCTCGCGAAACTCAAAGGGGATGCAAACAGTCGAAACGTCTGGGGGGGTCGCGATTAACGAAGGGGTGCACTGATAACGCGGGGTGGTTTTCCTCGGATTTCTCAAAACCCCGGGGAAATCCTCCCCTGTCGGCTCTCTCGCCAAAAATTGTCGCGAGTTTCAACCCCCTGTCACCGCCAGTCCCGCGCCCCCCGCCCCCCGCCCCGTTACACCCCTCCATACACGTACAATTCGATAAGTCCCGCGATGTGAAATGAGATAAAAATTGTAGCACTTCGCTTCGATTCAATACCGATTTGACGCGACGATAAGTGAGTGAGGGGGTGACAAGGAGGGGTTGCGCTGCGTGGGGGTGGTGAAGAGGTGAGTCTCGCGCCTCCACTTGTCTCGTGGGCGCGCGATTACGCGAGCACAAGGTAGTGCGCGGGGTCGGGGGGTAGTCGCCCCCGACCGCGGATCGACGTAATGGCTCCTCGAAGTGAGTGGGGGCGGATTAATCGGAGCACAACCGCGGGGGGTGGGGGGATGGGGTGGATGCACCCCGTTGCGTGTGCGTGCACTCGATCGACGACGTCGGGGGTGGCTCGTAAAACTTTCCGGCCGACTGGCGGTAATGAAGCTGTCGGTAGCACATGGGACGCCGGGGGGAGGATTCCCCCCGGGATGTGGCCCCGGCGCCACGTGTCGCGAGCGACCCCAGACCTCCCGGAATCCCGAAGGAGGCGATTTGGGGCTGGAAGGACCCTCTCTAGAGAAAGTGAAGTCAAGGCACCGGTGGGGGAGGGATTCTTATCGGGGTCGTATTTTCGGGGGAGACGCCTAGGAGGGACTTCCGATATCGAGACGACTTCGAATCGAAGGAGGTTTTATTAAAAAGTCTCCCAGAGATGCTCCCCGGGGGAGGCCCCTCCACCCCCGACCCGGCAGCCACCCCAGGAATTTCCCTCCCCCGACGTATCGCCGGGAAAACTTTTCCCGGAAGGAAAAACCACCCCGCGGGAGTTCACCCCCTTATGAACTCGGCGAACTCCAGGACCGATCCGACTTCTCATCCCCGCCTCATCCGCCGACCGCTAATGGACGTCCCTCCCGCGCCTCCCCCCGAAGATATCAAAATTATAAAAAGTCGTCTTCCCCCCCGCCCCGAAATTTCATCTCGCGGACCCGGAGACGCGCAATAACGACCGCAAGCGGCTCCGACATGTCGCGGCTATCACTTTTCCCGAGTCCCACGGGGTGCAACCCCCCCCCCCCTTAACCCCCGGGGGCAACGACACGTCGCGAATGGGGGTGAGGGGGACAGGAGGAAGGGACGGACCGAGACAAGGAGATTACGCGGCGGCCGGTCCGCGGCGGAAATGCGCACGCACACAGCCGCGAGGAGTCGTGTACGGGGGCGCGGGGGCGTATAAGCGGGCGTTAACATCCCCTTGTGCGGGGGCTGGGGGCGGGGGAGATGGAGACAGATAGAGAGACAGAGAGAAATCGAGCGAGCGCGAGTAACGCGCGGGGGCGCGCCCGTATAACGGCTTATCAAGTGATACGCGTTCACGTGTCGTTGGGCGCCCTTTATAGCGAGTCGCGTTATTGCGCGACCCGATATGGCGAGTCGCGCTATATAGCGGCTCGTTACGGCGAGTCGCGCAATGACTCGGTCGCGCTCCCCCGAAATCACCGATTTTTCCACGACTCGACTCCCCTGCCGCTGATAAAAAAAATTGACAAGGAACCACCCTATCGCTTTCAACAATTATCATACAGAACAAGGGGGTGAGGGGTAGACGACAGTTGAGGTTACTTTAGAGAAAAGGGGAAAGGCGGGGAAAGGGACCTCATTCCGTGTCCGAGCCTCTTTCTTAATCGTCGTAATCACCCCCCGTCCTCTCTTCGCAACTATTTCAAGATGGCTCCTCCCCTCCTCGCGACCATCTTCATCCGACGGCAGTTCGACCCATCGCTTCCGGCATAATTATCCCCCCGTCTCTCTTCTGCCCCACCCTCTCCCCTAAGAAAGGTGCAATTACCTCGAGTGACCCGCGCAATTGGCGCGCCGCTCTACCTCCACCCCCCCATTGACGGAGAAGCGATTATTGGGATCGCACTTCGAGCGAAGTCGCATCGGAAGGCGGCGGAGGCCCCCCGGGGGCGACTAACCCCCCGCAAAAGAGGATTAGCCGAAATTGAGTCCCGCGGTTCAAGAAACTCGCCACCGGCCGTAAAAACGGCTCCAAGATGGCCTCCCCTCCGCCGGGGACGGGGGGTCACCCCATTACTTCCGGCATAATCGCCCCCCTTCCGCCACCTCCTCCGCCCCTTTCTCCATTTCTCTCAGGTGCAATTACCCCGAGCCGCGCGAGCTACGTCGCCACGATCAATTCGCGGCGGAAAACGCAGAGGGGGTGCGGAAACGCGTCAAGGAGGGCAAGGGGGGGTCTCGCGGAATGGGGCAATGGGGGAGGGAAGATGATCCGAAGGCGGCGCAGGATCGTCTCCTGGAGAACCGGAGACAATAAACCGCTTGACGCGGGCGAGAAAGGTGGAGGAGAGAAAAAAAAAAGAGAGAGAGAGAAGAAGGGAGTAAAGAGGGAAACTGGGAGGATACGTCGAGGCGGAAAGAGCAGCGGACGTGGTGGGGAGCGGGAGGGGGGGCCTTAACCACTTTTCGAGGGGTCGCGCGTGCGGCGCGCGTTTTTTCCGCGAATCGTGAATACCGCGAGGGGTTCCTCTCTTCACCCCCCTTCCCGTGGGGGTCACCTCCCCATTTTCCACCGTTTCCCGGGGGATCCTCGCAGAGAGAATAGTCCTGACCTACCTTTTTGCCGTCCATGCCGGGCGTCGAAGTGGTCACCGGCTGGTCGAGCCTGAAAGCAGAAAACGGATCAGCTGATATGGGGGGTTGTCACGAAATTACGGGACAATGGGGTAAGGGGGTGTTACGGTATTTCCAGGATGCCCAAATTTTTTAGGGGGGCCCAGAACGAATACATCTCGAGGGCCACCACTGGGAAACCCCCCTAACGAGCCGTTGCACCCGTTTCACTCCCCCGCCGCCTCCTCTCCCGCGCACACAATCGTGGTCGACCCTTTGAAGCTCGCTCCTGAAGGGTCTCTCCCCAGGTTCCGGGTCGAAGCCAACCGGGCCGTTAATTACGCGAAACCCCGAGAGAGAGGTTAGGCCGGCCGAGAGGGTTCTTCGGGGGTGAGGGGCAGGGGGGCGGGGGTTGTTCGCGGCGCGCACGTACACCCCCGCGCACCCCCGAAAGAAACCTCGCGTGGCGGTCCCGTCGTTAAGGGTGGCCGATAAGGTCGCAAATGGCGGAATGGCCTCCCCCGGGTGGGGGTCGAAGACACCCCTTATCGTGGCTTCTGTAATTCAGGAAATCCCGATACCTCCGGCGGAATAATTTCTAATTATGGATCTTCTTTTTTCCTTTTAAGGGTGGCGGACACTGGGGGGGGTGGATTATTTTTTTCGGATGGGTATCGCTAGGGGGACGGAGGCAAACACCCCCGGATGAAGGGCGGGGAGACGGTCGCGAGATGAAAATCGATCCGACCGGCTTAAGGCTCGCGGTCCATCATCCCTATAGAGAGAGAGGGGGAGGGAGAGAGAGAGAGAACAACCGGAGCGTGCAAGCCACCCAACCGAGCCAGTGACTCGATTCGAGATATATCGATACGCGGGGGGGCCTCCCCCACGTGTGACACCCCCGTATCGATTGGGCATCCCTTGGCATCTCTGCCGAGGTCCAGAGAGCCGCGCAGTGCCTATGCGCCTTAAGATGCGTCCCTAAAAAAGCGCAGCATCCTTCCGGGGCCGGTACCACGGGAAAGGGGTGCGGGATACACCCGGGAATTCCCTGAGAACAGCCGAGCGACCAAGATCGGCAGATCCCCGTGTAAATTCCGGGGGATAAAACCCAGGGTAAAACATCAGGGGGGCAAACCACCCCCGGAATCCGAGCTGTTTAAAGAGCCCGGCTAGGTGGGCGCGATTAATCGTCCCCAGCGGGCGGCAATGCGGAAACGCGCGGCTCGGCCCCGCGGGGCATTGTCGCGAGGGGGCGGTCGCCCCCTCGTTCCTCCCGAAGAAATTGAAAGGAGCGAAACGGGCGAGCCGAAGCCGACGAAACAATGGGGCGGGAACGGCCCGCGCTGGCCAAGCTGCCCTGGACAATGCTCGGGCGGCAAATTGGCGCTAACGCGGTCAATTCCGCCTGGGGGCGGAATTCCGCGGGCGGCCCGCCACCCATTGTCGCCGTCCGAAACGCGGCGGCGGAGAATGGCGAGGCGGGCGTTCCTTCGGGACCCTATCGTCCCCGTATTTCAAGACGATAAGGGAAAAAATTCGCGCCGTTCCAGAAAAATCCTTGTCACTGATAAGACGAACCGAGATTTCGAGCGACACCGGGGAAGGCTAATTGGCGGTAACGCGGTAATCCCGAATTACCGCAGTCGGAGGGGATGGAGTCGGGCTTACGAGGGGTGGTAATGACTATGGGAGACTCGAATGGGGGTCGGGGCTTGTATCACGGTTATGGGGAGGGTAGAATGTCCCGACTCTCCTTATCAACGAGTATCACACCCCGACTAACCGTAAATCCTGGAATAATTATTTTTCCCGGCGATTTCGAATACCCTTTCCCTGGAATTTTCTAAAAACGGGGGCGAACCCCCCCGAAATTCGGTGATTACGGGACGACGCCACCCCATGCATTATCGATGCGCCCTAATGGCGTCGGATCAAATCCGCGACCGGTCGGTCGGCTTGTCGCCAATAATTCCACCCTTAATGGTGGAGCGGGGGTGGAGGGGGAGATTCCGTCCGGGGGGGAACAAGGCCGGCGCCATTGGTGGTGAAAAACGAGAATCGCCGCGATATAGGAGGAAAAAGGAGAAGTAACCGTGGTAGAGGATGGGGGGGACAATTAGGGTGGACCACCCCCAACGATGTGATTAAGGGGGGCGAGGGTGGAGGTGGCTCCTCGAGGACTGCGGAGGAACGTGTCCGCCGGTAGAGATCGAGTATCCTCCGGCCAGTCCGCGGGGGGTCTCGACCTCCCTCTCCCCGAGGGGTCGAAGAACCGATCCTGGGGGATAATTACGCTCCGGGATGCTCGTTAGGGGATGCACCGGAAGCCGGGATCTTCCGGCGACCGGAAGTCCGTCGAACGGACGTCCAAAGTTTTCGCCCCCCATGACTCCTCAAGACCCCCCTCTCGAGGAACTTTTCCACCCCCTGCAATGTCCCCCCCGAAACCACATTTCTTCGTTTGACGAGCGATAAGACCAAAAGAAATCTCCCTTAACTCGAGAAACTTTCGATTTCCGACTTCCCCTGATAACGCGTAACAATTTCTCGAAATGCCACAGGGGGGGTGGAATTTTTAATCCCTTCTCACACTTTCGGCCGGACCGCGCGCGGGGCAATCGATACGGAACGGCGGCAACGTCCGACAAGGCGAGGGCGGGCCGACGCGTAACGACCCATAAAAATCCCTTGGGTTAAGGCCAGGGGTGGCTCCGAGAAGGGTGGCCGCTTTATAACGTCGAGGCTCATCGAGAGCCTCCCTTAACGCGCCCGATCGATTAGGCCCTACGAGCTCGACCAGCCGGACGCGGTTTAAGGGGGTGGCTGCGTTTCTCCGCACCAACCCCTGGAAAATCTCAGACTTGTTCAGGCACCGGGACTCACCCTCGAATAAATACACACCGGTTCGAAATTAATTTTAAAATGCCCAAAGAGAAACTCGAAGTTAATCCTAAAGTATCAAAAGACACACAAATTCGAAATTTCGGGCGAAATTTCCAATCCCGAATTAAGGGCGTCCACCCCTTCGCAATTAAAACAAGAAAGTGGAAGCCCCCTCATGAGAAAAAAGGGAGCGGCTGCTTTTCCGGCATTAATCCTCCGGCGGGGGAATCGCCCCCCTCGAGGGCGAATTGCTTTCAACGGGATCCGCTTACCCCCAGGTAAAGGGGAAGGAGAGGGATGGAAAAGCTTCGCAAAAGTCGCACGATTAAGGCCGCCGGGGTGGAAACTCTTTCCCCCGAGGACGACTCCGGGGGCGTTTATTATTTACGCGCGACGAGAAGCATCCTCATCCCCCTCCCCAGGGGTTTAATAAACACCCAAGGGAGGGGTGCATTGTCTTCGGGGACGACAGAGACGGCAATGAAATCCCGCAGGAAACCGCGGGACGGTAAATTGATATCCCGAGTGTCGCGCGTGGGGGCAACCCCCCCAAGCCCCCGAAAAAAAGGGGAAAAAATGCGGAAACGGCTCAACCCTTCCTACAATCTCTTAAAAGCTCCTCTGGGGTGCGGTAGGGGTAATCAAAATGGATGCGGGAAATTCTGGGGGTGAATTTTAGTCTGGTCGTCTTTGTTATTAATTTTTTTAATTACTTTGATGTGTAACTTTATTTTTTTTCGTGGAATTGTAAAGGGGGATATTTGGGGGGATGAGACGTGGCATGGGGTGCGCTTACCAGTCGAAGAAGTTCCACAGGCAGGCGAACATCTCGAGGGTGGTTTCTGGAGTCGTAGGGAGACCTGTAGATTCGCGACTTACGCCCTTCTTCGAGCGTCGTTATCAATCGATATCAATCGATACATGGACGTGTATATATATATATATCGAGAGGGGCCATCGATACCCCGCACTTGACCGCCCTCCTCGAGTCGCTCTACATTTTCCACCCTCCTCGAACTTGCGCCCCGACAATGCGAGAAAACGGCCGCGACCACCCCCGATAAGGTTCTAAGAATTCATGGGGGTGATCGACCCCCAACGGGATATCGAATCGAACGACGCGATCGAATGTCTACCCCCTATCAACCCCTGGAAACATTTTACACCCTCTTCTTTTAGAGGGAATTCATTTAAGTCGAGAATTTTCTCTCCCACAATTTCCACCCCCATAAGCATCAAACTGGAGTTTCGATTTTTTTTTATCGGCTCTCTATTTCTTTTCTGGCAACACGGTGGCATGGGAAATCATCCTAGAGGCGGTGCAGCTTTTCCAGAATTTTCCACGGGGGTGCATCGACGTTTTCGCCGCCCCAATCGGCGCCACATTTGTCGGGCGAGCGCAGGGCGCATTTTTAATGGGGCGTCGAGGGTGGCGAGTTCGACGAGCTCGACGAATTCATCCGTTTACGTCGACGGTGATTGGGGGTTCTATAACGGTTGCGATAACCCTCTCGACATTGTTCGCAAGTCGCACCTTATTATTAATCTCAAGTCGCGTCGCGCCATCCCCCGCGAGTTATCAGTGCCAAGTCGCGATATCATTGCCAACCCGCGTTATCACTCCCTCGTCGCGGCTCGTCTCCTCGCATTGTCGCGCATTCCACAATCCAAGCGGACAAACGATGATGACCGCTCACGTAGCCACCCTCTACCTCGATCCGAGTCTCTCGCACTCTTATCAGCCGGACACTCCGCGCCTCTTTAACGATAACTCTCCAGATAAGGTTATAGCAATTTATCCGGTAGAAGGTATCGTTAAGGAGTTACGGACCGTTCCCGCACCTTGTAGAGGGCTGCGCCTCCAGGGGGTCCCCCGGGCGTGTAATCACGGGGCCTTATCACGACCCATACCTCACGAGGCCTTATCACAAGTAATCGACTCGCGCTCCCGAGCCTTCGTCGCCGCTCTCCATCGCGTCTTCCCGCCCGGCCGTTCGAGCGAGTTCTCGTCGCTGCGAGGGGTTGACCACCCTCGAGCGCGGCGGGGGCACGACTGCCCCACGACCGCCCCACGACCGCCCCGCGACCGGCGGCGCGAGAGGGAGGGCGGCTGGAATCGAGGGAGGGGGAGGACGCCCCTCCAAGGACCGACAAAAGCCTACCGCG